CCCCTAAATGTCTGTGAAGGCATCCACTGACTTTTCAGATGTGCCACTTAAGTTTTCCTCTCGTTCACCCAGGTATTCTGTGCGATTACAGCTGCAGTCTTTGGCTGCAGGCAGTGACCCTGGGTGGTTTGCCTAAAGAGAAGGGAGACTCTTTCAGCTGTCCCCATCTATCTGGGTGACTTTGGTTAGGGTTTCTTTACCATGTCAGAGGGACAGGGTGTAAAGCAGAGTTGAACAGAACAGAGGCCAGAGGAGCAGAGCGAGAAGGTGGGTCATCACCTGACGTCAGCACAAAGATGTGGCTTTTGGCTCCACATTTACTTGATGTGTTAAGGATTTTCTTGCTTTAGTTTGGTTTTTCTTTGTTTTCAGATGCAGAGCCCTCGGCCCAGGAAGCTCTAGGCACCGGAGGGGAGGTGATCCGGGTGAGTACCAGTGAGCAAGGTGAGCATTGACTCCAGGCCAGAACTAGATGGTCTTTTACAGGTGTTGTGGTGAATCTGTGCACATGCTTTGTTTCTTGTGTTTTCCAGGGGGTCTTCCACCTTCTAACAGATAGTCCAATGCTTCAGGGACCCTGCTGGTAAGAGATCACTGTTGATGAGAGATAAGTAGGTAGGAGCTACCACTGGAAAGCCATCCCTTCAGGCAGTATCTCAGTATGTACATTTGCCTTTGGTTTTTTTACTTTGCAGAGAATGTGTGCAGCCTCAGAGGGCCGGAGCCACTTGCCAATTAGGTTTGATGGTCTTCAGCTGTCCTCATCAGTAGTCTCCTAGTACTACAAGGCTCATCAATTAAGGCGCGACCTTTTCCAGTGCCATCCGGCCTGCCTTTGGCAAAGGAGGAGCATTCAGGTTGAGTCAGGGAGGTAGTGAGGAGGTGCTGGGTCTCCTGTACTTTCAGAAACACCACGTAACTTTTTTTCTCACTCACCCAGGTGCAGCACACGGTGACAGCAGCAGCTTCTGACTCAGGTCAGAGCCAGTGGCCTGAGAACCTCTCAGCTTAGGGGACGGTGAGTAGCCAATTGCGGGGTTATCGCCCACGTGCTGCCGAACTCTTGCATCAGTTTTGGTTTTCTTTCTCGTAGCCAACCGAGTCAGCAATCACAGGACCCTCTGAACCAGCTGGGCATTCTTCCTTCCCATCAAAGATGGATTCACATCCCCAACTATGGGAAAGATAAGTGGAGGACTACCACCTGGAGAGGGGATGAGAGTTGGGTCCAATTTTATGGTTAGGAGGGAGGGATTTTCAAATTAGCATAGGGGAAAGGGTCTGCCCTAACAGGCCCTTGGCACACATAGGAGGAGCAGTTTACTTTTCATCACTGGAGTAGGTTGTGCAGGGCAGAGCCGTTCAGGGCTGTGTCATGTCCTTTGTCTGGTCTGTGTTTCGTGTCTTACAATTCACAGTCACTGTGTCTTTGCCTTCTGCCCTCAAAGGTCTTATCAGAGATGTCAAGGCATCATTCCTAGGGTCTTGAACCTCTGCACTGTCCAGCCCAGTGCCCATACCATCCATTCTTTGGCTCGCTAGCTTGGACGTGCATCGGAATCACATCTGAGAAGTGTCAGGTCAGATGTCTTTTACAACCTCCTTACAGGTTGTATCGGTGGCTGTGCCGTGCAGTCATTTCTTGTAACCACCCCGGACTTGTGAGAATCTAAGAAGGTTGTGAATGTAGCATTGTCTCCCATCCATCTTAGCAATTTTGTAGGCAGTTCTTGTCACAGGACATTCTGTTAGAGCGTCTTTTCAGGCTCCTCAGAGCCTCCTCCGTTCAGTCTCCCCGTATCCTCCATCTTCTCATGCGGCAGCACATCCATTTTGGCAGTCGTTCCTTTCTTGGAGTTCTCTCTCCTCGTTGCACCACAGCACTTGTCCGGAAATGTGTCGTTGGAGTTTGTGTTCAGCCTGGAACTGCTCTGCCCTGCAGTGTAGACTTGGGGGTAGGTGGAGTAGAAAGGAGACTTTACAGTTAACCTGTCGATAGGCTTAGCCACTCACGGCAGCAGTTCTCCGGTCCTCCCGGAGGCAGCCCCTCCCTGCAGCGTGCGTGCAGTCACGAGAGCTTTTCCAGAGATGATGGGAGCGGTACAGCAGGGCCTTAAAGTCAGGTCGGTGTTTGTTTGTGCAGGTTGTCTTTGGACCCCAGACAGTTTGTCTAAAGAGAAGTGATAATTGGGCAGCAGTTAAGGTCCCTCCATCTATATGGCTGACTTTGCTAACTCATTTCTTTGCAGCGTCAGAGGGACTGGATGTAAAGCAGAGATAAACGGAAGAGGCCGGAGGAGCACAATAAGAAGGTGGGTTGTAATGTGAGGTCAGAGCCGAGACACGACTTTTGGGCCTTTGGATGGTTTGGTGGTTTAGTTTTGTTTTTTGGGGGTTTTTTTAAGATGCGGAGCCCCCGTCCCAGCAGACAATAGGCACCAGAGGGAAGGTGAGCCCAGTGAGCAAGGTGAGCAGTGACTGCAGAACAGAACTAGATGCTTTTTTGCAGGTGGTGTACTTCTGGTGAATCTGCATACATACTTGGTTCTTTGTTTTACAGGCAGACTTCTAACGTGCAGTCCAACATGACGGGGACCCTGCCTGTAAGAGGTCACAGTCAAGGGGTGTCAGACAGAAACTGCCATGGGAGCAGCATACTCTTGGACAGTATCTCAGTACTGGCATTTGCCTCTGGGGGTTTTTTTGCAGGAGACATACGCAGCCTCACAGGGCTGAAGCCAACTCACAGTGAGGTGACGGACACGGTTCGGTCCTCTCGAGCTGTCCTTGTAGGTAATCTCCGAGTATTAAAAGGATGAGCAACAAAGCCTTGAGCTTTTTTGGTTGCAGGTGCCATCCGGCTAACCTTTGGGAGCGTCCGGGCATTGGAGGCGAGTCGGGGAGACAGCAGGAGGAGCAGGGATCCACTGCAGCTTTAGAAATGCCCTCTAATTTTGTCTCTCACTCGCTCAGTTATCCCGGAAGATGACAGCCACAGCCTGTGACTCCAGTCAGAGCTAGCGACCCGAGGACCTGCCTCAGTGACAGTGAGTAGAGGGATCATCGGGGCTGGGGCCATGTGCCACACTACTCAGATATTGTGTATGGTTTTCTTTCTCGTAGTTGACTCCGAGTACTCTCACGATGGCAGGAACCTCTGAGCCAGCCCAGGTGCCCCTCCTTTGCATCAGAGATGGATTCTCATCCCCGGCTCTCAGAAAGATAAGTGCAGGGCAAAGACCCAGAGAGGGGTTGGGAGTCGTTCCAAGTATGTGCATCGCCCGGAGGGATTTTTGAAATTAGTTTGGTGCAATGGGTATCCTATTACAGGTTATTTGGACGCATCAAAGGAAGGGCTTACTTTGTATCATTGGATTCCTGTGTGCAGGGCAGAGCAGTTCCAGTCTGTGTCACGTTGTTCGTCTTGTCTGTGTTTTGTGTCCTTAGGGTTTTTGCATCTTGCCCTCGAGGGGCTTATGGGAAGCATCAGGCATCATCCTTAGGTTCTTGAAGGTCTTTTCTGTGTAGCAGAGTACCGAAGTTGTCAGTCGCTTCCTTTGCAGGTTCAGGCCTTCTTTGGAATCCCATCTCTGACTTTTACGGTCAGACCTCTTTTAAGGCCTCATTCCAGTCTGTATCATCAGCAGTGCTCCACAGCCATCCATCTTAAAGCAGGAGGACTCGTTTTCCGCCTCGTTCCGTTCTTAGCTTCCGAACACGGCGACATCGTGGATCCATCTTCAGGGTTTTGACAGACCCTTCTTATGACCAGTCATCTTGTTAGCGTCTTTATTTGTCAGGATCCTTTGAGCCTAGTCATGTTATGATGGTAGTCCCATAGGTCATGGTGTTCCACAGCATCTCCATTCTTGCAATCGAATCTTGTCAAAGGGAGGTTCATCTCTTAATTGTGTCACACGGTCTGTGTCATCATGGGTACGGGATGTCTCACACGGGGTCAGCCTGGAGCTGCTCTGCCCTGCCACGTGGATCAGTGGGGAGATGGAATGTTGCTCAGTGTCTCACGTCAACATGTCAGTTACCTTAGACAGTCGAGCCGATGGCTGTACAGTCCTGCTGGATGGAGCAGGTGTACGTAACTCGTGTGCAATCATTAGAGCTGAGCGTTGTGGAGCTGATTGTACTGGGATAGCAGGGCCTTGAAGCTGGGTTGTCATTTGTCTTCTCGTATGCTGCGGTCAGAGTTCTTATTTGCTCAGGGTAAATGAGTTCTTTGAAATGGTTAAAGTCTCAGTGACCACATGCATGACCTGACTAACATTTTTTTTCTTTTTTTTCCCCCAGATAAGTGGACATGATGTACCCCAGACCGAGACAAGTTGAAGCAGCCTAGGAACAAGGTTGTATTAGGTGTTGGATGAAAGATGTCAATTTTACCCATAGGAATCCTTTATCTTGTAAATTTTTGTTTTTTATTTTCCAGATAGGGCGCATGTAGTGCCGAAAGTGGTGCACCAAAAGCAGGTGAGAGAGGGGGGCTCAGGCC